TGTGTGCATTATTTGAATAGGTATAGTTTTACATATTTTGAAGTTTTTTTCATATGTTCAAATACAGTGTTCATATTGTAGGTATGTAAACAAAATTTGCGTATAAATACCACTGTTGCTGCCTCGATGCAGTATCCTGACTTGGTCTCTCAAGTGGGCAAAATGAATATTTTACTGTTATGCTTCGTTGCATTCTGGTGAGTTAACAATGATTGTAGTTTAAAAATCTTTGTATTTTTATCTAACCCATGCTTTTTGCTATACTTCACTTAAATTACTCGTTGTCTAGTCAAGTCAATGAATAATGCTATGAATTTTAATTATCTACGAATTACATTTTGGTAGTAGAACAGTATTTAAAGTTCTTTAATTTTTTCGATGTTTGTTTAATTACAGCACATTTAAAACAATAGTGTGCGATGATCCCATAGTTGAAGTTGAACAGGGATTGTTACGCGGCAAACTCCAGGATGCTGTCGTAGGTGGTTATCAGTTCTACAGTTTTGAAAACGTTCCCTACGCAAAACCACCCGTCGGAGACCTGAGATTCAAGGTATTTTTGCAATATCTCTATTAGTCTCTAATTGCTAGCAATGTTTAATTTTCAATACTCCGTACTAATTTAAACCATTATTAATTTATTGACCACACCTTCTCAAAATATTCTCTAAAAGTAATTCTATTCCATTTCTATTCTATTCGTAATTCATGTCAATTATTCCCAGGCACCCGAAGAACCAGAATCATGGGAAGGCGTCAGGGATGCGACCGCCCTGGGACCCATGTGCCCACAGTTCAGTCCCTTGACTGGCATCTTGAAACTTGGCAGTGAAGACTGTCTGTCCGTTAACATATATACTCGCAATTTAACAGGAAAGGCACCCGTTATGGTCTACATGTCTGGCTTTGCCTACTTCTTTGATGGTGATTATGAAAATCTCTATGGAGCTGATTATTTGGTCAAAGATTTGGTAGTAGTCACATTCAACCACAGAAAGGATGTACTCGGTTATCTAAACCTTGGAATTAAAGACGTACCTGGAAATGCTGCTCTGAGAGATCAAGTTTTACTTCTTGAATGGGTACAAAAGAATATTGCAGCATTTGGAGGTGATCCAGACAGCGTCACTTTAGCTGGATTAAGTTCTGGTTCAGCAGCAATTGCGCATCACTTGATGTCACCATTATCTACAGGACTATTCCATAGGGCTATTATGCTTAGTGGAGTACCTACTTGTGATGCTATACTCTCATATAAAGTTAAGGAAAAATCTTTCCTCCTTGGCAAACAATTAGGATATGATGGTGAATCTGCAGAGGAGTTGTTAAGTTACCTTCAAAATTTACCCTATGAAGATCTGATTTACAAAATGGTTTACGTTTCATCTGAAGAAGAACAGCATAGTCAGTTGTTGAAGAAAATGTCCACATTTGTGCCAGTTATCGAAGAAGATTTAGGTCAAGATAGATTCATCAGCGAAGATATTGCGAGCGCTTTGGAAAATGGACTGGTCAACAAAGTAGAAGTCTTGATTGGATATTCTGACCAAGAAGCTTTGATTGTCGTTAATCAGTATGCTGATTACATGTTGAACCTCTTCAAGAATGACCCACTACTTTTCGTTCCCAACAAAATATTGTACCAGGAGGACATTGAGGACAAAAAACTGGCTATAGCTAATTCGATTAAAGAGTATTACTTGGGAGACAAAGAAGTGAGCGTAGATAACATGAAAGAATTCGTTCAGTGCAACAGCCACTCCTGCATGATATACGATGTTTTGAAATTCGCACAAAAGGTTTCTAAACTTACTGATACGTATTTGTTAAAATTCAGTAGTGTTTCAAGCAGGAATGTGTATGGTAACGAGGGACAGAAGTACGGCATTACAGGAGCTTCCCATGGAGACACCGTCTTATATATGTTTGACCCTAAACCATTGAATATGGTTGTAAGCGCTGACAGCGAGGAATACGCTCTTATCACACAATTCGTAGGCAGTCTATCTAACTTTGCAGCTACTGGGTACGTTCCAAAAGATATTATTTTCACTACTTTTTTTAATAAATATTGTACTCAATAATATTTTTTATAGATTTATGTTTGAAATATACCAGTAAAATTAACGTTATTATTTTTGTTACAGCAAACCTACCGCTGACTGCCCTCAATTCGACGTTGACAGCCAGAACTATGTAGAATTCACAGACTCCATAACTTGTAAACAAGGGCCCAACAGTGATGACATTGCGTTTTGGGATAGCATCTACGACCAAGCAAACCACCCTATCTACCCATACTGATATGATGACCAATTCCCAGGGTCATTTTTCACTTTCTATCAACACAGCTTTAGTTTCAGGCTTCTATTGTTTTTCTTTAAATGGTTTTGTTATATCATTGAAAATTTCTTGTCTACTTTTGGTAAAAGAGCTGAATAAATGTTGATTTAATATTTTAAAAGGTTTTTTATTGATAAGATTCTTACAATTCTTTAGTAAGAAGTTGCCATCTGTGTCCTTGCCACTACTGTATAATACCTATAATTAATTAAAAAAATGAATATAATTCATACCCAAGATTTTTGTAATTTAAAGATTTTTTGACAATTATCATGATAACTTGCTATTTTTTTTAAAGAGTTTACCAAAATAAAAGTACAATTGGTGCCATCATTATGTATAAGACATAGCTTTATTTTTTCGCCAATGGGGTACTTTCCTTGATCAAAAATGAAATATTTCGACTGTTTAAAACAATAAAATATTAAAAAACAATCACACTTTCATTAATTGATTTTATGACCAACTTAATATTAGTATTTTTCCACCATTTTTTTAAGACATAAGTATGCTGTTTGATGCTAAAAAAAAACGTGACGTCTGAATACACAAAAAATCATAGAATCTGTAATCTGTCTCGTAAAAAAATCATAGAATCTGTCGTTCTTGACAGTTCAATAAAATTATTGAATTTGACTAGTCAAAAATCATTTATAGCTGTAACCGAATTCGTGTTCAAAAATATAAGTGTAATAGTTTTTATTAACCAATACTTTTGTTAATTCGGATAGGTACATACATCATTATAATTTTATTGAGAATACAAAGAAGTACATAGCATAAAGTGTGGGAGAGCCATGCTTCGGCAAGAAAGGGCCGGCTCGACCAGAGTGATGCCACGGCCTCACAGAAAACCGACGTGACGCAACGCTTGCGTTGTGTTTCGTCGTGTGAGTGAGGTCACCGGAGGCCCAATTACCCTCCCAATTCCCAAACTCCCCAATCCTGAATCCCCAACGATTCTCAGGTATCCATGGGCGACGCCGATTGCTTACCATCAGGTGATCCGTCTGCTCGTATATCGGCTTATGCCATAAAAATAAAAAAAAAATATCATACAATCAAAGTTTTGTATAAATATACCTTTCTAAACCCATTCTCGGTTGTTGTGCCAATTGGCGAACACTTAATAATTGAGGGCGGAAACGAGACGTGTTGATATCAATAGAAAATAGGAGTTTAGTTTTGAGCAGTTAAAAGTTCAGTGCATAAATATCCAGGGTATAAATGTAACGCTCCCGAAACGCTGACAAAAAGAAATTAGTTTTACAATTTTAATCGTTTGTCGGGAGCGTTCAGTTTTCAACTGTAGAATACAAAAAAATGTTATGTGCAATATATAACCAAAACTAGCTACTTCCGCGCGATTTCACACGCTCTGCTCAGCTCCTATTAGTCGTAGCGTGCTGTTTTATAGCCTATAGCCATTCTCGATAAATGCGCTACCCAACACAAAAATAATTATTCAAATCAGACTTGTAGTTAGGGATTAGCGCGTTCAAACAAACAAAAAAACAAACTCTTCCGCTTTATATAATAGTATAAGATTACTTGTTGGCATACATTAGAGATATGTTAACTCCTTTTTAAAGAAGTAATAGTTTTCATACAATAAACGTTACATTTCCTAATATTATTTGAAATTAATAAATAATTCATAATAGGGTAGTTTCCAGGGTATCAAAATTAAAAATCTATTTATTTATTTATTAATTTATGTACACACATTCAACACAGAGGATAATACATAATAAAAAACAGAGTACATAGGCCCCACATATTCCAACTGGAATTTCTTCCTGTGGGCCTGTGGCAGGAAAAGAAATAACAATACAGAGACACATAGTGTGTTACACAAATAAGATAAAAATCAATTAGTCTAATTAGTCCGTCAGTTAGGTTATGAAAAAATATTTGACACGTATTTTTTATTTCTCTCATTAAGTTGCTTAGATAAAATGGCGCTAAGGAGTGGGAGGTCGTTACGTCATAACGTGCTACAAAATTTGGCACGCTGTGACAAATAAAATAAGTTTTCCTTGATGTTCCACTTTTCAAATATGAATCACAGGTGAATGTTCAGTACTAGTGACGACAACAAGGGTTAGAAGAGGCTATATGTTCCTAAGACAACAGTTGCAGAAGACAGTGATAACAGTTCGGACTATGACATTGCCATAATTTTTTTTATACTTAATAGGTCGACGTTTTACCACTATCTCGCCTGATGGTAAGCGATGATGTGGCCGACGATGGAGCACGCCTACCTATGAGCAACCTGTTTTCACCAAAACCCAATGTTATCACTGACTAAGATGAAGGTTTTGATAAAGAAAATCTGATCATCTTGGCAAATGATCTACTCGGAAATAAGCAACCCGCGTTCCTATTCGCAATGAGGGTTTTCTATCGGTCACGAAAAGACCTCAAATCTGAATAACTGTATCCTTTGTCTGAAGCAGCTGGTGACCATTTGACTATCCCAGGTTCATCACTCCTGTCCGGCAGAAGAACCCTAATAATTATACGAAAATCTAGAATCTGATATCGTTTATCAGATTTTAGGTTTCCTTATCGGCCTCGACACTGGCCTTCGTCATCTAATATGGATGATTTACAAACTGATGGCGCTAATCAAATGTAAATTATTTCTCATAATGGAACCTGAAAGAACCACTGAATTGAAAAATCTAGTTTTAAAAACGACAACTTGTAAGTGGCCACTGTGCCAATTGGGGAACACCCCATTAAAATTTCTGAAAAACGTTATTTTAGATTTTTTTTTCTCATTCCCACATATTTTTTTGTATTCTATATTATAAATAAAACGACCTTTCCGTAAAAGAATCGTGTTGTTTTATTGAGGCACTCTGCTTCCACGTGCAGCGCAGTTTCTAGAATTATCCGAAAATAAAATAACAAACCATATGCCTGAATCCATTATTAATGGATATTATGTACTAACAGCCGTAACATTGTGAATTTTAATTCTATGTATATTTTAATTAATCCGTTTTACATGAAGATTGACATTAATTGATACATTTTTTGTTCAAATATCAGTTTAAAAATTAGTCTCACTCAAAAACCATGAATTTTGTAAAGAAGTAATGTATTCATTTTGATTGTTCGTTAGAAACGGTCGCATAATTATATATCATTTGAACCAGTTAATATACCACTTTATTTTTTTAAGAAGAATTGACGAAAATGTACCCTTTTAAATTTTCAATTTTTCTTCAAGGTTTATTTTTTGTATTACAATTTAAATTGAATATTATTTTTATAGTACTAGCCGTACTAGATGAGGTTGAACCTATTGCCACATATAAGAGTGAATTACCGATGAATACCCTATTGAGCATAGGCGTTATTTAAATGTGGGTTGGTGTACTTTGTTTAAGTGTGGGAGAGCCATGCTTCGGCACGAATGGGCCGGCTCGACCGGAGTAATCCCACGGCCTCACAGAATACCGACGTGAAACAACGCTTGCGTTGTGTTTTGTCGTAGAGTGAGGTTACGGGAGGCCCAATTAAGCCCTTCCCCAATACCTGAATCCCTAACAATCCTCAAATTCCTAATCCCAAAACGCCGATAACGCACTTGCAACACCTCTGGTGTTCCAGGTGTCCATGGGCGACGCCGATTGCTTACCATCAGGTGATCCGTCTTATAGTTTACCATAAAATAAAACAAATACCTAGCGCTAACAATAACTATGTTAGTTCTGAGTGGGTTTAAAAAATTGAATGTCCAGATATGTGACAGTAGGTAATTCTCCATTGGACGAAAGTTTAAGAGAGACACACTAATGCCATCTGGATGATAGCCCCCCATCAGTTACATTTTTTTATCATTTTTTGCAAGTTCACCGCACCAACATTCCTTTGAATGAGCAACCTATCTTATTGGGTACTGACTGACAATACTAAGTTTTGCCCATTCTCCTCTACACTCGTGGAGCTGATCAAATTTTTTCTCGAAGATGATATTACATTTTTAAATTACATAACTATCAAAATGTTGAGTAAATATTTGACAAATGAATATGTAATCGTTTTGTATATTTCGAATATTTATCACCGTATATAAGAAGGCTTAATGACTGCTTTATCTGACATCAGAACAAAAGCTTAACAATGGGTGCCAAGACATATTTTTTTATATTTCTTACTTGGTGAGTTTAATTTTTTTATTCTCTGCCACGTTCCACGTGATAACATTTTTTAATTGAATTTTTTATTGTCATCTAATTTGAATGATTTTAGGAACATTTGACTAGTAAAAAATACTATTTCGTAATGATTTTAAATTAACTTATTCAAATAAAGTGTTTCTTATTATACAATTTGCATAAAGTAACTATTTATTAGGAATTACTGGACACAGTTACTGGTGAAGCGAAGTACTACAGCTTTAAAGGCATTCCTTATGCCAAACCTCCTGTGGGTGATCTCAGGTTTAAGGTAAATAACATCTTGATATAAATATCGTTTCTAGTGTTTTCCATGTATCTAGTAGTATGTGGTGGTGGCCCGGAGGTTTATGGTACCCGCTTGTAATGCATGAGGGCGCAGGTTTGAAACATAAAAATGAAAAGTACCAATGATTTATTAGACACCTCTGAAAAACGGTGAAGAAAAACATTGTGAGGAAACCCGGACTTATAATTTCTAATTATAGTATAGACCTAAAATTTCTAATTATAAGTTTGAAATTCTCAACCAGAATTGAGCAAGCGCGGTGATTAATAATCAAACCTTCTCCGTGTAAGAAGAGTCCTGTATTTAGCAGTGGCAGCGTATAAGTTATTGATGTGAATTATGAAGTGTGTATTATGATGTAATATGTGTATATTCCTAAAAGAAGATGTGCATAGAGAAGGGTTCATCTCAGTCATCCAGAGTTAGATGATTTATGGGTAGATCGATTCTGCCTTTGTTAGTGGTGATTGGTTTATAGTTAATCGGTAGACAGCGAGTGTCAATGTGTCAAAAAAAGTTTATTTTGACGCCTTATTTTTTGACTTAGTATACTAAGTATTTTAATTATGTAGTGTACTCTGTAATACACCCGTGACACAACCTCGCCCAGTCTCCCCTATCTAATTGTATTGTAACATCTACTTCTATTTTCAAGGTAAATACTGAACTGGTTTACTCTGCTCTTGTCAAAATCTACTACTATATCAAGTAGCTATTTTTTAGAAATATGAGCAGATTAGAACAATTTTTTGCTTTTGCGAGGATTTTACTCAAAATTTTTGTTAAATAATTTACAAAAATTAATTAAAACCAGCATCTGACTATCATCTTATAAGCCAAATATAAAGCTTGCAAGTATCTTAAATATAAAAACCACTCTCTGGTCTTTGGAAATAGATCAGCCGTTTACATCGACGTGAATATATCATTTAGGACGTAGCAAGCAACGCCTAGAGAAATGACAGCGTTATCTTGCTACCATACAACTAATGTCTATGTGTTTTCTTTTAGGATCCACAACCGCCGGAACCATGGGACGGAGTGAGAAATGCGACTCAACATGGCTCCGTGTGCCCTCAAATAGATTTACTCAACAGTATTGTTGTACCTGGCAGTGAAGACTGCCTCTTCCTCAATGTGTATACTCCTAATTTAACTCCAGAGAACCCTCTACCAGTCATGGTCTTCATCCATGGAGGAGGGTTTAAATTTGGCTCAGGAAACGTTGACGTTTACGGACCAGATTTCTTGGTAGCCAAAGATGTAATAGTCGTCACCATGAACTACAGGTTAGATGTCTTGGGATTCCTCGCTTTAGGAACTAAGGAAGTCCCTGGTAATGCTGGAATGAAGGATCAAGTCTTGGCATTAAAATGGGTGAATGAAAATATTGAAAGCTTTGGAGGTGATAATCAAAACATCACCCTATTTGGAGAGAGTGCCGGAGCATCTGCTGTTGGTTATCACTTGGTTTCACCAATGTCTAAGAATCTGTTCCAAAAAGCAATATTACAAAGTGGTGTGCCCAGTATGGACCCTCACATTCCTTACAGAACTGTAGAGAGAGCTTTTGTCCTTGGAAACTCTCTTAACATTACAACTAAAAATTCCACTGAACTCCTTCTTTCACTACAAGAGCTACCAGCCGTGGAACTGCTCAATAGGACTGCCTTTTTGTTTGCTTCTGAATCTATAACTCATATCGTGTTCAAGTTTACTCCATTTACTCCTATAATAGAAGAAGACTATGGCCAAGAGATGATATTTGTGAGCGAAGATCCCTTCGATACTTTAGATAGCGGTAATGTTAGCAACGTGGATATTATGTTCAGTTACAATAAGTATGAGATGCTCATCATGCTACCGTACTATGTAAATAATACTTATCGATACATACAACGGTACAATAGATACCCAGAACTGTTAGTGCCCAGTAAAATATTGATGAAAGCAAGTAGTGACGACATTTACTACTTATGGAATAAAATTAACGACTTCTACTTTGGCAATAAGAGTATTAGTGTCGAGAACATGCCTGAGTTTATCCAGTACGCTGGTTTTGCCAGTCTGGTGTATGATGTCCATAGATTTATAAGACGCTGGCCGCAGGTTGGCAATGTCTACCTCTTCAAGTTCGAATGCATCTCCAGCAGAAACTTCTATGGTCTGCCAGGCGCTGCCTATGGTCTCAATGGCCCGTCCCACTTCGATGATTTATTCTATGTGTTTGATCCTAAATCATTGCAGTTCCCTCTACCAACTGACAGCAAAGAATATAAATTGGTTCAGCAGATAGCTACCGTCTTCACAAATTTTGCTAAATACGGGTGAGTAAGTTCTCTGAGAAATCTTGTATCACCAGAGATTATTAAAAAATAATTATGTATATAGACTTATTCAAAATTAAAAGAATCATTAATCTCACCTAGCTTATTTATTGTAAGTCAGTGTTTCACTCACAATCACACACGAGGTAGACAAAAAAATATATTTTGTCACTTTTCTTTCAGAAACCCGACTCCAGACTCGACGCTGGGTGTGTCCTGGCCTCAGTATGACAAAAGTAAACAGGCGTATGCGATCATAGCTGACAACATCACCATAGACTACAAACCAGACGCCAAAGACATCAAATTCTGGAGGAAAGTTCTCGAATACGCTCACATCAAATTCTAGTCTATAATTATTCTAGTCTATAATATTAGGTGTTTATAAATTATCTGTTACGTTTTAATAAAATTCTTCATCTCAAATATCTGTTTTAGATTTTAAATTAGTTCCCATTCTTTTGAAAGTAACGCCTAGTTTAAGTATCTTAGTTTGACACTAGTAGGATGCATATTCAATATCGTAAAAACATCAGGCACTTTCAGAATATCCTTTTTTTCAATGAGATTATATCATAATTTATTGTCCTGTTTTGCAAAAGGTCCGAGAACTAAGTTGAATAACTAACCAATATTTTAATTGGCATTTAACCTTAATCAAATTCGGCTAAAAACGTCAAGTGCAATGCACCATGACGCAGGAACTGATGAATGAAGGGTAGCTGTCCACGTTGGGTACTTTGACGACTGCATGTATCCTTCACAAACAATAGGTGTCCTATAATTGACCAATACTTGCTTTGCTTAGAAGGAATGACAACTGTCCACGAAGCAGCAACGCCGCCGAAATCCTATCATTTCACGCAACGTGGACTCAGTCAAAACTTTTCAGCAGCCTTCCTCTTGTTACTGTCTGTCAAAAATAAAATCATATACAAATCGAATAAAACCAGGGAATCAGCCTTATATTAAATTCAAGAAAAAGAACTCATATTAAATTCAACAAATCTTGAATTGAATATTTTTTTAAGGGGAATATATCATCCAATGACTCCTGCCGCCTCGCCTAAGCGGGAGGAGTCATTGGATGATATATTAGGAGTCATTGGAGTGTCACACTCTTACTGACTAAAAACCACCCCGTTCCTACTGCTGCATTTCGAGCCGTAGCTCCGGTAACCCGTTAAGTTCTCCGCGGCTCCGTATTGGCGTCAGCCCTATTGGGCCCCATCTGTGGTGGTCTGATGGCTCCTTGAGACGCGTGCGGAACGCAACGCGCCGTACGCCCGGGTCTGGTTCTGGTCGGGCGGCGAGTCACACGTGCTCGCCGTCGTACAGTGGCTAACATATCAACTTATTACAATGTGTACAATTTTTGTCGTTGTATTTTCTACTTTATAACTATACGGTAGAGTTAAAAATCGAATAATTCAAATTTGACAGGACAAGAGCAGATTGACCAGCTGCCCACTGTAACTATGTGTTGCTTATTTATTTTTTGGATATTTGTGGCGGTACCTATATAAGCGTATCTTAGTGACTAGATATGTGACTTCAGTTGGTGCGCAGCTTGTTATAGCAGAACCAGTTCGAGCACAATGCATACTAAAATATCCTTTTTTATATTCTTCACTTGGTGAGTCCCGTTTTCTAATCATTCATTGTTTTATCTGGTTTCACACGGTAATGATATTTAATTACTATTTTTGGTTAAAGCGTGTAATGTATTGTTGATTTGAATTTAAACATTGATGTTATGTTTTTATAATAACTATCGTGAGACATACTAAATTATATAAATTCGCGGGTTACTCACGTGAATATACTGTTAAAAGCTCTAGTAGTTTCGAGCTACAGAGGGGCTCTTCGTCAAGAGCAGCGTGCGCGGTCGCGGCACTGTTTGATGTTTAACTAACCATGTTATGGTTAGGTGGGTTTTCAGTGAGGCCATGGCATCAAGCTTGACTCTCCTACGAAAATTCTCTGACTAGGTATCTATTAATGTTACACATTGTAATTTTGCACGTGCTCTTGCTACCAATACTTTGCAAATATCTTTAAAACAAGTAATACAAAAAAAAATATGTTAACTCGTCGAGTACCGGTTTTATGGACACAATTAAAGAACAATAGGTCGCGGTCACCGGTGACCGCTTGGTGCTTGACAGTTTAAACGGTTTTAAGGAACTCCATTCTACCAATCAATATTTTGTCCTTTAGTTTGATATTTATAATGGAGGTAGTTACGGAAAAAAAGAAAATTTAATACTGTATGGTCATCAAGATTAAGAGTGTGTACTAAATATCATATCAATCTATCGTTAGGAAGGGGGTGATATCCCAATAACTTTTCACCCAAACAAACGGGTCAAGCTGAATAATTAAAAAACGTAAAATATTATTCAATTTTTTCAGCTTTCTTCAATGGATATTTTGCGAATATGTCGAAGTGGAGGTGGGTCAAGGTCGACTACGTGGAGAGCGTTTAGAAACAGTTACTGGAGAAGCAACGTACTACAGCTTTAAAGGCATTCCTTATGCCAAGCCCCCTGTTGGTACCCTCAGGTTCAAGGTAACTATTCTTCTTAGTTAGTATTTTCATTACTAAAGATCTTGTCTAGTCTGGTGCATGCGTCACTGCACTTCATGTTCGACCCTCTTCCAAGCGCCCCAGTACACTGCGGTCTTCATAACTTGTGGAGCTATCAGGCCAGAGACGCTTTTGGCAACACCTAGCCAGGTGAACGATCTCGAGGTTTTCATGTCAACCTAAACAACAACCACCAGCTACAGATTGTACGAATAACTCATCATCATGACGTAATAATGGACTAGCACTAGTCATCCAGATCAAGAGACCAGCATCCTTTATCTATTCGCTGACTTGTGCCTTGAACTCCTTGAACCCTCCGTCCAGCCATGAACATCTTTTGACTGACCTTAATCATGATATTAAGACCAATTATATTCAATTAAACGAAAATATACATATTCGATGATTAAATAATATACATATTCGATGTCTTTATTCCTCATTTTTATTACTTTTGCCAGTTATGTTATTAAGTAAAAACGCGGGTTACTCACGTGAATATACTGAGAAAAGCTCTACTAGTTTCGAACCACAGAGGGGTTCTTCCTCATGAGCTGCGCGACGTCGCTGAGACCGCGCACGCTGCTAATTTAGTATGTCTCACGATAGTTATTATAAAAATTATGTTATAATAAGAAATAGAGACCCTATTTTCAAGATAAATACTAATGTTGCCTTTATAGAATTCCTATTACAGGGGATTTTAATATATTAAGCGAAATGTTTCTTCTCTGCCTGCCTAACACTTCGAGGATATTTGACATTTTTACTTTTATTTGTTTTATTCTCTATTCAAGATTCCACTATTGTACTACGAGTAGGTATGTATGTAGAAACAGGATTACAGTCGTTACTAAACCGTATTTGAATATCATCTTGTCACTTTTTTATTTATTTTTAAAGACTTTGTTGGCTTGACTTTCCTCAAAGATTAAACCGATTAAAAAATGAATACATTTTATTACTTATTGTTTCTGGTAATAACAGACTTTATAAACATAACACAAATTTTCAAGATGAGATAAGTATTATTAAGTTCTTCAATTTAGATTCTTACAGTAGCTAATAAAGTCATGTCTACAGACAACACCTAGAAATGACGTACCCACATGACACCTAGTCATTATGATCTTTAAATTATGTCAAGGTTAATTATTATACAGTACAATATAATACACAACGCCTGATCAGTGACATCCGCATTATCATAATTCAGTTTCTTATAGCTATATGTTTTCTTCCAGGATCCGCTACCACCAGAACCATGGGACGGAGTGAGAGACGCAACTCAACACGGTTCTGTCTGTCCTCAAGTAGAACTACTCAATAACATTGTGATACCTGGCAATGAAGACTGCCTCTTCCTCAATGTCTATACTCCCATTCTTACACCAGAAACCCCTCTACCAGTCATGGTCTTCATCCATGGAGGAGGGTTTAAATTTGGCTCAGGAAACGTTGACGTTTACGGACCAGATTTCTTGGTAGCCAAAGATGTAATAGTCGTCACCATGAACTACAGGTTAGATGTCTTGGGATTCCTTGCTTTAGGAACTAAGGAAGTCCCTGGTAATGCTGGAATGAAGGATCAAGTCTTGGCATTAAGATGGGTGAATGAAAATATTAAAAACTTTGGAGGTGATCATAGAAATATCACTTTATTTGGAGAAAGCGCTGGTGCAACTGCTGTCGCTTATCACTTGGTTTCACCAATATCCAAGGGTATGTTTCAAAGAGCAATTTTACAAAGTGGTGCAACTAGTCTGGATTGTTTCATTCCTTACAAACCGAGAGAAAGAGCGTTTGTCCTTGGAAAGTCTCTTAACATTACAACTAAAAATTCCACTGAACTCCTTCTCTCACTACAAGAGCTACCAGCCGTGGAACTGCTCAATAGGACTGCCTATTTGTTTGCTTCTGAATCTATAACTCATATTCAGTTTAAGTTTACTCCATTCACTCCTGTGATAGAAGAAGACTTTGGCCAAGATATGAGATTTGTGAGCGAAGATCCTTTCGATTCTTTAGACAATGGTAACGTTAATGATGTAGATGTCATGTTCAGTTACAACAAACATGAGACGCTGATCATGCTACCGTTCTATGTTAATGACAATTTTAGATACATACAACGGTACAATAGATACCCAGAGCTGTTAGTGCCTAGTAAAATTCTGATAAAGGCAAATACTGATGACATTTACTACTTATGGAATAAAATTAACGACTTCTACTTCGGCGATAAGAGCATAAGTGTCGAGAATATGCCTGAGTTTATCAAGTATTCCAGTTTTGCCAGCGTCGTATATGATGTTCATAGATTTATCAGACGCTGGCCAACAGTTGGGAATGTATATCTCTTCAAATTCGAAAGTTATTCAAGCAGAAGCTACTACGGTTTACAGGGCGCTTCCTATGGCATAATTGGTCCTGCTCACTTTGATGACTTGTTCTATGTGTTTGATCCTAAAATAATGCAGTTCTCTCTGCCTATTAATAGTACAGAATATAAAATGGTTCAACAAATGACTACTATTTTCACAAACTTTGCTAAATATGGGTAAGCACATAAAATTACCAACTTTTTTATTAATCCTAATCATACAAAATTACTCAAGCTATGGCACATGTTAAAATTTATATATTTTCCAGAAACCCGACTCCAGACAAGTCGCTAGGCGTGTTCTGGCCTCAATACAACAGAAGTAAACAGGCGTATGCGATCGTAGCTGACAACATCACCATAGGTTACAAACCAGACGCCAAAGACATCAAATTCTGGAAAGAAGTGCTCGAATACGCTCACATCAAATTCTAGTCTATGTTTCACGTTGTAATAAACTATTCCGTATTGAAAATCTAAATTTATCTTGGTTTTTCTGTTATTCCTGCCCGCGTAGTAATGACAGTGTAGAATATTTGCAATATTTTTATCACCGCCTCTTCTGTTCCGCGAAAGTTGTAGGAAGGACTGCTGCTGTTAGCTATATATCAGAGAGAATCAGCGATTTCTGTTAAATCATGATCTCTGACGTGCCTGACAAGTCTGGAGATAGGTTGCACGGACAGCAAAATGCATCTGTGTCAAAAAGCAAAATGCATCTGTGTCAGAATGTGCGCCTAGATTAGACTGACAGAGCGGCACACGAAAGAGGTTTTCATTTTATCGATAATGACAGGCGCTTCTAAATTATTTAGTACTTTGTCACATTTATCATTATCTTTCTTTCTAATCATGCATTGCTTTCATGATTAATTAGGAGCTGTTGAACCATATCTAAAGGTTAAAGTCGAAACAAGTAAATGCGATAATACATCTATTTACATATAATGAAATCGCAAGAAAGTGAAAACTATACATTGCATATTTATTGAAAAGAATGCTTAGGGCGTGATATAAACGATACCGAAGCTAAAAATATGGTTTTTAGAATATTTGTCTGTTTGTCTGTATGTATATCCGGGCTAAACTCAAAAAGTACTATATGGATTTACTTTAATTTTTGCATGAGTATTATTAACAGGTCGGGTCAACATATAGGCTACATATTATCACGCTATCACTTACGGGGAGGAGCTGTGAATTACACGCGGACAAAGTCGTGTGCACAGCTAGTCTAAAATTAAATAAGTTTATAACGGCGATTATGTTAATGTATGATTATAAAATATTATCTAGTTATAAGTTAAATTAAAAATTAAATAAAAAGTAGTTATAAGTTAAACCTTTATAAGTTAATTATAATACTTCTTATTAAAATATGTTTTTTATGGCATATGCCGAAAAAGCCGGTAAACGAGCAGGCGGATCGCCTGATGGTAGGCAATCGGCGTCGCCCATGGACACCTGGAACACCAGAAACGTTACAAATGCGTTACCGGCCTTTTGGGGATTAGGAGTTTGAGCATTGTTGGGGATTCGGGGATTGTGGAGATTGGGGAAGGGGGGAGGAAGCTGGGCCTCCGGTAACCTCACTCACACGACGAAACACAACGCAAGCGTTGCTTCACGTCGGTTTTCTGTGAGGCCGTGGTATCACTCCGGTCGAGCCGGCCCATTCGTGCCGAAGTATGGCTCTCCCACACTTTAAATGTACATTATGCAATTTGAATAAATAAATAAATAAACAAAAGGAGTTACATTATTTGCGTTGTTTGACATAGGTAGTACTTGTGATTTCTCCTTTTTTCGTTCTGTAACACCAATACAAAATGAAAATAAAATTTGAATTGCCTGTTAGTTTGGTATCAGCAACATTTGACCAATAAATGATTTAAAATTGCTTTATTGTCAGGCTCTTCATCAGTTTTATTCCAACTGTAAATCGATGTGAAAGTGAAATATACGTCACTCAAAAACAGCTGAATCAATTTCAATAGAATGGGTACAGAACAAGCTAGAAACAAGTGAAGCTAGGTGAAGTGTCCGGTTGTCACTATGACCAGGCAACCGACTGCCTTAACGTGTAGCGGGTTCGATTCCCACACGGAACAACCATTTATGTGACCCACAAATTATTGTTTCGGGTTTGGTTTTGATGTGTATGTGATATAGTATGTTTGTAAACGTACCTACGCCTATCTGTAAGTGACTAGCGGTCGTTGTTATTGTTCATATGCCTAGCAATGGACGGAAACAGTAGGCAAATGAAGATGATGCTGACAATTGGAGGGATGACGACAGGGTTTTTTTAAGGGGGGTGAATAATCGAATGACTTCTCCCGCTTGGGTGAGGCGGGAGGGAGTGTCAGACTCTTACTGTCAAAGTTTTGAAGTAATACCCAGTTTGCACTATTAATGTTATGAGTCCCATGTAATAGTGGGTGAGCCTTTTGCCATATACCGGGCACAATTCCAGACTCCGTGCTACTTTGCCCGACCCGGAAATCGAACCCGAGACCCCTTGCCCGGTAGTCGGACTTGTGACCACTGGGCCAACGAGGCAGTCCTTTTAATTATGTTGACAATTTTGAAAATTACCTTCCACTGAGGTAGAAAACTAACCACTACGCTCAAGCTGTAGACGTCTACAATATCAGACTTATCGAGGACTTGGAAGAACCAACTAACAAAGAGATGGATCAAATAGAGATTATTTAGCCTTGTGTCGACCACACACATTGACTTCTTTTACAAAACTAATAGAGGACATCTGTACATCATATTTTTTTTTTTTTTATATTATAGATTATTTCTCCACGGACTCTAGGTCCGTGCCCTTGTCATACAGTTTTTTAATTATAATACATCTAGTCAATTTTTATAAAGTAAAGAGGGAACCATACTGGAGGGTACATCATATTTAGGTACCTATGCTTTTTTTAAGGGGGGAAAAGCATCGATTGACTGCTTCCGCCTGGGTGAGGCAGGAGGGAGTGTCAGACTCTTACTGACTAAAAATCACCCCGTTCCTTCTCCTGCACGTCGAGCCGGAGCCCCGGTAACCCGTTAGGTTCTCTGCGACAATGTACCTATGCTTAACATTTATTTTAATATATGTAAACAAATAAGTTATATAACGGTACCTGGGTGTATGTTGTGTTAATTTCGAAAGACTTTTACATTTGTTCAAATAATTATAATCAACCATTTACATAGTCGACAAAAATATAATAATTATTTTAATATATGACTTTTTTATTTGCACCGACTCTGCGTGTAACGTAAATTCAATATATAAAATATTTTCCATTTATTAACACACAGACAACGGACGAATAAAACCAGATATTAATTTACCTAGGGTCGATTTTTCAATCAATAGATCATTTTTATTCGTAGAACAAAATTGACGTTTAACATTAATTTGTATATAAGAAATAATTGTCAAAAGTGTCAAAATTATTTATCTGATACAAGTTGTCTGACTTTGGGAAAACCGGCTCCAAGAGTGTAACATTTTTAAGTGCTTTTTTAAATATGAAGTTTTACATTAACAAAAGATTATGCCAGGCAACAGGCTCACCCCATATTACAAGGGACTCATAATATAAACAGTGAAAAGTGGGTGTTATATTGTACAATGGCATTAACTCGTCGAGTACCGGTTTTATAGACACAATTAAAGAACAATAGGTCGCGGTCACCGGTGACAGCTTGGTGTTTGACAGTTTAAGTGTGCGCACCTCTGCCTACCCCTTCGGGGATGAAAGGCGTAATGTTATGTATGTTATTAATAAAAGAAAAGAAGCAAAATGATCTAAGAAACATATTCAATGTAGTGATTGGCGTACTAAACAGTAATTATATGAACAATACTTTTTTGCCTCATGCAAGGCGGGAGAGAAACTGAAGAATACAAGAAGAAACAAAGTCCTGGTCAAAAGCTATAGTGAAAAATTCGCTAAAAACGAAGTGTAATATTAAAGAGTTTATTCGATAATCGACTTTATTTCTCTTGAATAACAATCGAATACGATTTCCAACGATCAAATAAAATTATAAACGTGAATAAGATAAACCAGATTAAATCTGAAGATTTTCTTTCAATAGTTGCTAACGAGATGTTTGGTGGACGATGAGAAAATATATTTCTATTAATAAAAGCTATAGGTATAGCTTTTTGGGAATTTTGGAAAATACGCAGTATTCATTAAGTCGCAAAATACCTTAAACTTTATTAAACACATACAAAAGGATTAATTTCGTACGCCTTGGACGCAATCCCAATGATACCCGGAATTTGTGTGACAAAATTCAATCGAATAATAATTTTATTCGATTTAAATCGAATAATGAAAAGAAACACTAAATAACTTTTACTCACCTTGAAGTGAAATTGTTTATACAAGTGCTTCTGTTTCCAAATATTATAATAGTTGCACAAATATTTTTAAGAAAGTTAATATAACAATAAGCTAAAATTTATATAAAAGGAGAAATTTGGGAAGCGATAACAGTGTCGGGTCGGTTCGAGATTCTGCTGTTTACAAAATGAGACTCATAACTACCGTTGGCGTTCTTATCCTGTGGTAAGATATTTTATGTATCTTTATATCTTATTTTTAATGTAATATTTCTTTTATGATCATCATCATCACCTTCTTGCCCTCTATCCCAAAACATCTTATGTCGATATAATGTCTTCATCAAAAATCAAATGAATTTATTTGTTACTTTCGTTCTGTACACAAATAAATCTTCTATTACTTCTGTTACATAACTAACTATATCATTTCATTGTTGTTATATTTACTTTATCATTTCATTGTCCCACGCACTGATCGTTTCATTGAATACGTGAACACGGATTGATAAAAACTAAATAAAGTTACTTGTCATCCTCCATCATTTTAAAGTTATCACCTTAATAGATAAAATATATTTATTTTTGACTGTCAAAAACAACACCAATCATGTAATCAACAAAGCGGGATTTTTTGATGACTACTATTCATTCAACAATTAAGTAGTTAAGATAAAACAGAGCGCCATCAACTACGACCTACACATATATCACTTCCAACCTATTAAAATATTATTCGGCTTGCTGCAGTATTTTTGAATAAAGAATGAAGAGAACCATTCTCGAAGTTTGTTTGTGCGACGAAGTTCGAAAATCTGTGGAAATTCCCCAAAAACCCGAGTCATCGACATAGTTCTTAAAATCTACGAGCTGAAGTGACAATAGGCAGGCCACATCACTTGAGAGACTAATAGTCGATAGACCAAGAAAGTGCTTAAGTGTAGACCGTGGAGTGGAAGACGTATCGTAAGAACATAACATAACATAACATCACGCCTTTCATCCCCCAAGGAGTAGGCAGAGGTACACATTACGGCACTTAATGCCACTGTACAATGTAACACCCACCTTTCACTATTTGTATTATGAGACCCATGTAATAGGGGGTGAGCCTATTGGCATATACCGGGCACAATTCTAGACTCCGTGCTACTACTGAGAATTTGAAAAAACTCAGTAATACTTTGCCCGACCCGGGAATCGAACCCGAGACCCCTTGCCCGGCAGTTGCGCTTGCGACCACTCGGCCAACGAGGCAACCGAAACCGATAGTGTATAGTAATAAAAAATATTTTGTTTCCAGTGTTATACACAACATCTCATGTGATGACGATGTAACGCTAGTAGAAGTAGAGCAGGGTCAGCTCCGAGGCCAAGTACTGGACGCAGTCGTTGGGGACTTCCAGTACCTCAGCTACAAGGGTATCCCATACGCTAAGCCTCCCGTTGGCAAACTCAGATTCAAGGTAAATAACGTTTGTCTAAAAAGTATCATAATTTAGTCACAATTCTATCATAAGACACGATAATGAAACCTACGATTGAAATACATAGTAGGTTCTTCATGCATGACGAAAATAAAAAAACACATATTTTGCAGGATCCAGAATATCTAGACTCATGGGAAGGAGTGTTGAATGCCACAGAACATGGAAGCGTCTGTCCACAATTCAATCCAATAACTGCAGTGTACACCTCCGGCAGTGAAGACTGTCTGTTCCTCAATGTATACACCCGTAACCTAACTCCTGACGCTCCACGCCCAGTTGTAGTGTTCATCCACGGTGGGGCCTACATTTTCGGGTCCGGAAACACAGACTTGTACAGACCAGACTACTTACTTGCCAACGACGTGATCGTTGTAACAATCAATTATAGATTAGGCGTTTTGGGATTCCTGTCCCTAGGCAATGAAGATGTACCTGGCAATGCTGCACTAAAGGACCAAGTTACAGCCCTGAAATGGGTGCAAAATAATATCGAAAAGTTCGGAGGCAATCCGAATAGCGTCACTATTGTTGGAGACACCGCTGGTGGAGCATCGGTCACTCTTCATATGTTGTCCCCTATGTCAAAAGGACTATTTCACAAAGCTGTTGCAATGAGCGGGTCTGCTACTTGTGATTTTGGTCTTACTTATAAGCATGTCGAAAAGGCAAAGATTTTCGGATCAGCGCTTAAGTGTGAAAATGTTGATGACAGCGCGGCACTCCTTGATTGTCTTCAGGCAGCTGATTATAATGCCTTCTATTCTATTACTCCCACAGTCCTAGCTTCAGAAGAGATAACAGATGTCTTATTCAAAATGGAACACTTTACACCAGTGATTGAAAAGAAAACTGGAAACAACTTCCTCACTGAAGACTACTACAGCGCATTGACGAAAGGACATGTGAACAAAGATGTGGACTTTATAATTGGGTACAGCAGTCAAGAAGCAGTACTCCTCATCGACCTTTTCAACGCTTCTTACGTAGATTTGTACAGCAGGTACAAGGAACTGTTCACACCAAGCGAAATACTCATTAAGAGTACTCCAGACACTAATTTGAATGTTGCTAAGAGTGTGAAGGAGTTCTACTTCGGCGAAAAACCTGTTATAACTGAAAACTTGAATTTGTTCGTGAAGTATTCGAGTAGCGCCAGTATAGGTTACCATGCGCAGAGATACGCCAACAAATGGGCCAATTTTGGAAAGAAGACTTACTTCTACATATTCGATGGCTTCACAGACTGGAACTTCTTCGGACAACAGGGTGTTAAATATGGAATTGAGAAAGCCAGTCACTTTGACATCACTTACTACTTGTTCTACCCGGAATCGTTGAACTGGTCCATTGATACCGACAGCGTTGAATACCAAGTGACGAAACAACTAACTACTTCGCTCACCAACTTTGCAAAGTCAAGGTAAGATACATAGTCATACTTTCTCCATCAGTTAGGTTCATTTTAGTATCATTGCGGCAGCAATATAAGGTTTTATAATTTCGATCTATCTTGTGTATATGTCGTAGGATAATTTGATATTTCGAATCTTTGCGGAAATCCTAGGGGTTTTGCGAAAACGCGGATAATTAGACATAGGCGAAAAATTATCAAATCTTACTGGACAAAGTCAGGATTTTTGCGAAAATACTCGTTACTATAGTAAGATTTGATGTGCTCAACACTGATTGGCTACAATTTTGGTGGCTGGCTTCTAATTGGTTCCTAGTTTAGGTGAGAAAGAAAAATTGATTTTTATAAACCTTTTATTGAAAATTTTAGTATGTATGTTGTTTTCTACAGACAATAGGAGATCTCAGTCGTTGTAAAAAAAAATGATCCAATTTTAGGGTGTAATCCATAAATTGGATGAAACTGGTCGTTTAAGACGACGAAAAAACATTTAAGACGTCAACCAATCAGAGACGATCTCTTATTGAACGCGCTGACCGACCAACCAGCGTTCTTATTTCATAACAGCCAGCGTTTCGTTTCGCAATCTTACTATAGTAACGAGTATTTTCGCAAAAATCCTGACTTTGTCCAGTAAGATTTGATAATTTTTCGCCTATGTCTAATTATCCGCGTTTTCGCAAAACCCCTAGGATTTCCGCGAAGATTCGAAATATCAAATTATCCTACGACATATACAAAGCCAACAAAGTACACCTCTTGATCTGTCTTTCTTTAATAGACCAAATTAGTTGATTTTCAGTAAATTGGGTTATCTTGATAATATTTTTCCTAGATTATCTAATATTATTTATTATTTACAGTGACCCAAGTGTGGATGGTGTCACATGGCCACAATACAGTGAATCAAGCAAAGCCTACGTGACCTTCGGCAACGATGGCCCCGTAGTGGGCTACGGACCTGATGAAGATGACTACAACTTCTGGGCAGGAGTCTACAAAAGCGCTGGAATACCATTTTGATTCTTAAATAATAACTAATAAGGGCTACTATTGTACCTATTTTATTAAGATTTTGTCTGTTGATATCCGTGTAAGTTTTAAATAAGTATGACAATACTGATGGTTTATTTTTCAAGTTTTATTTACTTATGTTATCTTGTCGACCGTCTTCTTTACTTTTTCATTTCTTTATACATACAATATTAAAGAGAAACAATACATATTTTTGTGTTTCTTAATTTAATATTACCATACCACATTTCGCCTCGGTTATATAGTAAGTACTTTTTATTAGACTCAATTTTTTTTGGCATTGATCAGGCAAACATTGCACCTTAACAGGATTAAGTTGAAATTAAAATCAATTAGATTCAATGAATGATGAGCCTCGCAAAAAAGTAACGTAATTTTAAAAGGTGCATTATCTGTCATTTGTTAGTTTTATTTAATCACAAGACGTTCACGGCACATATAATAAGGTTTCCTCTAATGAATTCCTGATCATCCGGTTGGAAACAACCTGCATCAAACAGCTAACTGTGGCCTTTATAAAGACGACGAGGTGGACGATGCATAAATATATTCACTAGCGTATTCACGGCTTCACCCATGTAGTCAAAACTATCCAACTAAAATTATAAATGCGTAAGTTTTATGTCTGTTTGTCTGTGTCCTTCACTTCAAAACCACTGAAGGGATAGATAGGAATAAAACTTGGAACTTAGAGGGGTAGGTAATGTTCTGGAATAACATATAGACTATTTTTTATCGATTAGGAATACGGGCGAAACCGTTTGCAGAAGCTAGTAGTAAACACATTCCTTACGAATCACATTACATATCCATTGATTAAAACCATACAAAATCCATCCAGTAGTTGCTATTCGACTGTAGGAAGGGTATTGTTGAGGCTTTTGCGTTCATATAAAGAAACGCTATATTTTTATAATAATTATGTAAAAATTTTAAGACTGCCACGTTGGCCAAGTGGTCGCCAGTGCGTCTGCCGGGCAAGGGGTCCCAGGTTCGATTCCCAGGTCGGCCAAAGTATTACTAGGTTTTTGTCAAAATTCTCAGTAGTAGCACGGAGTCTGGAATTGTGCCCAGTATTATGAGCCATGTAATAGGGGGTGAGTTATATTGTCATATATAACGCACCCCCTATTGCATGGGGCTCATAACATAAATAGTGAAAAGTGGGTGTTACATTGTATAGTGACATAATCTGCACCTCTGCCTAACCCTTCGGGAATAAAGGGTGTGATGTGAGAATTATAAGAATAAAGATCACAACACACAGCACGGCTCCGGCACGGTGTTTTTTGCTTTGGAAACAATACAAAAAGGTTAAGAGGGCGCTGTCGACGCGCGGGCGGCGTGCTGGCGGCGCGTGGACGGGGCGCTTACAGCTTTTTCATATTGATTGACGTTATGAAATATGTCATATGACAGAAGATATAATGTTTAAATTTAAATGACAAGTTAATTGCTAGGGTAGAACTGTGCCCGTTAAGTGTGCTATGATCTTCAGGATTAAGATTAAATATCGTCGGTTAAATGGAAACTCGGGCATAGTGTATTATTATCTTATCTATGACAATGAAACTGCAGCGTAACTGTAATGTCATGTTATCCAATGACTGCTTATCTCGTCAGCAAATACCAGGTATGGTATTATGTAACATTACACACACACACCACACATTTATTTATTACTAAAAATACGGAAGATTTTAATTAATGTATGAAATTAACTTATTTGTTTTTTTATTTTATTTTAGAGAATAATACGTGAGTGAAGATAAATATCAATTTAACTTTGTAAAAATTTGAACAGTTTAAGGAGTATTTATAATAAAACTTTTGTAAGGCATACTAAATAAATTATTATGTTTTTCGACTTACTCACATAATTATTTGACGAGGAACTCGACTAGTTTCAAGCCATGCTTTTTTTTAAAGGGGTGAAAATCATCGAATGATTGCTCCCGTCTGGGTGAGGCGGGAGGGAGTGTCAGACTCTTACTGACTAAAAACCACCCCGTTCCTTCTCCTGCACTTCGAGCCGGAGCCCCGGTAACCCGTTAGGTATCCATGCTAGAGCATGGCCATCGCGCTGCTACTGATTCACGCGTAAGTAAGCAGAAAAACATAATAATGGCACTTCATACAAATGAATACACATAGCATCATTCACATAAATTTATTATGGAGTTGAAACAAGATCTTTATGAATTTATTATGGAGTTGAAACAAGATCTTTATGAAGTTATTATTAGAAGCGCAAAATTTATTTATTTTCATGAAAGAAGCGAGCGAAGCCGCGAACAAAAGCTAGTTCTATATATAAAAAACACAGACATCCGATAAATAACATCAATCAAAACAAACCACGATACTAAGATTACAAAATACAATATAAAAAAATCAATAAAACAAAACGTATTGATAACATTATATCTTGAGTAATGTAAGCGTGATAATACATAACATAGTGTATGTATCCACCTTGTACATAGTCATTGAGGATATTATGTGTACTTCGGTCGTGTCATGGTAAACAACGGTCTATATATAACTATATCAACCATCTTGCTTGTCAGTTTTATAGTGTACTAGTGATTGTATGATTGTTGACTTGTGTAGCATTTATTTTATTATATTCTTCGATATTTGAAACAATAAACACACGGTAAGCAATTTTTTTTTTAAATTTCATTATTATACGAAGAAACAATATATGAAAAGATGTGTTGTAACTTTCGTGAAACATACTAAATAAATTATTATGTTTTCGGCGTACTCACGTAGTAATTCGACGAGGAACTCGACTAGTTTCAAGCCATGCTAGAGCCTCATATTCATGAGCAGCATTCCGCGAAGCATTATTAGAGATAATTTCTAAAATAAAACATTAATTTAAGAAACAGACAAAACTAAAGGTTTTACAACTTTGACATAACTTTTTTTTTATCCCCGAAGGGGTAGAACAGGTGCACATTATGCCACTGTACAATGTAACACCCACTTTTCACTATTAATGTTATGAGTCCCACGTAAAAGAGGGTGAGCCTATTGCCATATACCGGGTACAATTCCAGACTCCGTGCTACTACTGAGTTTTTTTTAAACCCAGTAATACTTTGCCCGACACGGGAATTGAACCCGAGACCCCTTGCCCGGCAGACGACTGCCGGGCAAGGGGTCGTTGGCCGAGTGGTCGCAAGTACGAACTTGCGACCACTCGGCCAACGAGGCAGTCATTAATCGGCGTTCTTGTTCACTCTCTCTAATGTGATCGAGTCAGTTTTATATAACGCCCGAGTCATTGTGCATCAAGACATTCTGACTGACTGACATAGTGCGTTGTTTTAATGTATTGAATTAATTTAACAACAGATTACTGAATTTTATATAGGTACATATAGTTTATATACATATGTAATGGTAGTTAAATTTCATTTGTTTAAATTTTTTATCGTTTGTTTAATATTTTATTACACATAACTCGTTAATATATTTTCGACCAATCTTATCAGCTGAGTTTTCGGTAAGTGCAATCAGATGTTTTTTAATGTTATTTCAAGTCAGTGTCGCTAGGCAATGAGCTAAAATCTGAGCTAAAGAATGAGCAAAAATCTCTATAAATAAATATTTGTACAATATTTGTTCCGATAAGCAAATGTCACATAATATAACATACCAGCTACATCCGCGCGGTTTCAACCACTCTGCTCGGCTCCTATTGATCGTAACGTGATGTTTCATAGCCTATAGCCTTTCTTGATAAATAGACTATCCAACACAAAAACAATTTTTCAAATCGGACCAGTACTTTCTGAGATTAGCGCGTTCAAACAAACAAACTCTTCGACTTTTATAATGTAACCAGTAGATGCCCGCGACTTTGTCCGCGTGGAGTAGTGACTTTGCACTGCTTTACAGCTCCTCTCCCGTAGATGATAGCGTGATAATATGTAGTCTATATGTTGACCTGACCTGTTTGTAATATTCATGCAAAATTTGAAGTAAATGTATGCAGTACTTTTTGAGTTTAACCCGGACATACATACACTATACAGTCAAACAGACAAAAAGTCTAAAAACTATATTTTTGGCTTCGGTATCGATTGTAGATCACGTCTCAAGTATTTAAAAAAATATATTCAATGTACTCTTTTGACTTTTCTACGATTTTATTATACATATATGTATAGATAAATAGATAAGTATAAGATTAAGCAATAAGAACCCAAAATGAGAGTTCATGAACTGAATTTTACTCTGCTTAACCTCATGTTTTGTTACTTGAATGACTGGTCTTATTATTGATTGTTATGTAATAATATTCAATACGATTTTAATATTTAGTTTATCCAGTGTATAAATCACAAAATTCTCCAGCCTAGTATTTCTATGTATCGCGTTATCTATCTATCACTATGTTTTGAATTAAGTCCACACAAAATTTATGGGTACTGTAGGTTATCAAGTAGTAGTATTTATTTATATTACCAAAGTCAAAATAAAAGTCAAAGCATTTATTCCAATTAATGCTTAATTAGGCACTTAAATTTTCGTCGATCTGTCTATCTGTGAAGCTAGGCACTCGTTTCAAAGTGTAGTTCAGAATGTAAAAGAACAAGCAACAAACTCCATCATTACTCTTTAAAAAGAGGTTTTTTATAGTCTCGTTGATACATTATCTGATCCTTTACCTGTTGTATATACATATATGTGAGAACGATGTAAAGAAGATACAATGTCAAAAATTAATGGGACTACGGAATCAACTATTGAAATAAAAAAAAGTTATGAATGATTGTTTCAAACATGCTGCCAGAGGTGTTCTTTGCTTGATTCATTAGAGCCGGTCAATAAGAATGCCGAACGCAATTTTAGTACTAAGGCCTCAGAGCCGATGTTAATAATAAAGTATATTTAGGTGAGCTAACTATTATTTTTAGTTAATTCGGTATATCTTACAACAGTTATTATTAAAATTATTTATTAGCTATAAAAATAATTTTATAATCGTATTAAAATTAGAATCTAAATTGAGAAGCTCATTATATTTAAACCTTTAACCATACACTTAAGGCCAATTAGACCCAATGATACATGATACTCGCGTAACAATAAGAATCGCGTGATCGTCTTAAGTCTTATTTACTTACGGAATTCTGATGTCATTTAAAGATGACAAAAAAGACAAACAAAGACTTCGTTGAAGTAGTATTTTAAAAGATTATTAGTCCTAGGCATACCTCCTACATTCAGCATCAATACATCTGTACTACTTATACAAAATCTGTGAATCCGGTAAACCTACTAAATAGAATTTTATGTGGACCAATGTACAATGTCGTTCTTGGGAGGCTTAAGCACCAAACTCCTAAGGTTCCTGTGACAAAACTGCTGAAAATCCAGTCATCATTTTTTGAGGGGGAAAATCATCAAATTGATTTGGAGTGTCAGATTCTTACTGACAAAAAACTGCCCTGTTCCAACTGCTACTTCGAGCCGGAGCCCCATTAACCCTTGCGGTTGCTTGCAACCATAGACGCGCCTAGTTCAATTTATTTATTATCTGTAACTTTGTATAGTAACTAGTTATTTCATCGTTCACAGCAATGGTGGAAGTTAAAGTGGAACAAGGACGCCTGGAAGGAGAAGTGGTGGAGACAGTTACTGGTGATGGGAAGTACTACAGCTTCAAAGGCATCCCCTATGCACAGCCACCACTGGGGAAATTGAGGTTCAAGGTCAGTCACTATAATACTCGTATAGTTAATAGTATAGCAATTATGTAATTAAATATGGAAGACGTAACAATGATAGGCTCTTGCTAGGTGAACCGTTAACAACATTTAAGTTATGAGACAAAAGACGAGTTGTTACTCAAAATTTTAAACTAATGGTATGATATTAATAATTTAGTCCCATAAATGATATTTCAAAAATTCCTATAAACAAAAACGTTGTCATCAATTTATTTTATTTTATTTATTTATTTAGAAAACCAACAGCGATACATGTGATATAATACAAAATAAAGATATTACAGTTTAGTAAGGCTAATAATAGGTTTCCCTTCTTAACTTAATTTGTATTTACCATGCGAACGGACTTTAAATAATATTTAAAAATAAAGTTTTAATATAGAATTGAAAGTTAAATATACTACTTGTTATGAAAGAGAGATAATAATATTAATTTAATTAAAATATGAATTAACATAGTAAATGCTTTATGGTGAATGGAACAAAGTTGCTTGCTATTTGCCTTTATTAATTATAATATTTTTAACTTGGGCTTTAAAGCTAGGTTTTGTGCAGTTAAACACATCAACCTGAGAGAAGTGTTTGTTGTAGGCTCGCGCAATGCGAGCAAGTACACAATTACTAGCATAGTTAGTGGCATGCCTAGGTACATGCAACATTGGCGTATGGCGAGTGCGTCGTAGAGGAGCATTAAATTTGATTTGTGATAACAAATCCGGACAATCCAGCCTACCATTCAGTATGTCGTAAAGTACACACATGTCCAACACTTCACGTCGTTCATCGAGTGTTAACAACCCATACGTTCAATAAATCCTTTTTAGGCTTAGTTTCCTAATAAATAATTGTTACGTTACACATTTATGTTAATCCGAGTTGTTACTAATAAATCAGTTATTTACTAGAATGTAGTTTTGGTACAAAAAGTTAATTGGGTTCTATTTTAACATCGTATGATTTATTTTATCATATTTATAAACATGTCATCGACAAAAGTAGGTATAGGAATGTAAATATTAAACATACTTGTTTGCATGGTTAGCGCGATAGCTGGGTTATTTTAAACTTTATACTACCAAATATTTATGGTTTATTACATTTTTCAGGCTCCTCAACCGCCTCTACCCTGGGAAGGCGTCAGAAAAGCGACAGAATTTGGCCCAAAATGTCCGCAGAAGTGTATCTTCACAAACACTGTCCAGTTAGGAAGCGAAGACTGTTTGTACTTGAATGTATACAGTCCTGACATAAAACCAGCTACCCCACTGCCAGTCATGATATTCATCCACGGTGGTGGTTATAAAAGCGGTTCTGGAAACAACGATTTCTACGGACCAGACTTCCTGGTCCCACACGGCGTTGTCCTGGTAACCTTCAACTACAGGCTCGAGGTACTCGGCTTCTTGTGCTTAGACACCAAAGACGTTCCCGGAAATGCTGGCTTAAAGGACCAAGTCGCTGCTTTCCGATGGGTGCAAAAGAACATCGAAAATTTCGGTGGAGACCCGAATAATGTTACAATTTTTGGAGAGAGTGCTGGCGGTGCGTCTACTTGCTTCCACATAATCTCACCTATGTCTAAAGGTCTTTTTAAGAAAGCTGCTCCAATGAGTGGTGTACCTTTCTGCGATTGGTCTCAAGCTTTCTTCCCACAAAAACGTGCTTTCCTACTCGGAAAAGATTTAGGTTTTGAGACTGACGATCCTGATAAGCTTCTAGAATTCTTACAAACTGTGCCATCAGAAAAACTTATAGATACAAATCCAGTGGTACTATCCTTTGAAGAATACAGCAATAATATACTGAAGCTATACCACTTTACTCCAGTTGTGGAGAAAGACTTTGGTGATGGTGAAAACTTCTTAACTGAAGATCCTATCGAAGCATTGAGACATAAGAGGATTAATGATGTTGACATACTAATTGGTTTCACGAGCCAAGAAGTCCTATTAGGAATACCAATGTACGAAGAAAAACTCTTGAAGCATTACAACCGATTCCCAGAAGTATTGGTACCAAGAAAAATCCTTATGAAAAGTTCTCCAGAAAAGATTTTAAAAGTAGCGGAGATGATTCAAGATTTTTATTTCAAGGGAAAGCCTCTCTCATTCGATATTATGAAGGAATTTGTAACATACGCTACTCACGCATGTTTTACCTATGATGTTAATAGATTTTTGTCACGCCTGCCGAAGGTTGGAGCTGGTCGAAGATATGTGTACCGGTTCTCCAGTTTTTCTGGTAGAAATGTTTATGGGGCTATTGGATTGAAGTATGGGATTCGTGGAGCTTCTCATTTGGATGACCTGATGTACCTGTTTCATGCAAACGCGCATAATATTAAGCTAGAAAAGAATACGAAAGAACACGAACTGGTTAATTTGGTGTGCTCTGTATTCACCAACTTCGCCAAACACGGGTGAGTGATAAGATAATGTGTTATGCCTATCAAATAATCTCCCGGCTCAGTAACACTGATAATATTATTTTTATTGTAGTTGTTTATTTACATACGCCTTTCAAATATAATATTTCAAATTCACACTGTATTAGTAACTTTTGCTTTTATGCCTAGTTTGTTTTTATGACATACCTTACCCTTTGTTTGCAGAAACCCAACTCCTGACTCCAGCCTGGGTGTAACCTGGCCTGAATATAACAACAAGACTGAACAGTACGTGGACATAGGAGACAGCCTGGAGGTCAAGACACCAGATGAAGATGAAGTCGAAGCTGTGGCCTTCTGGAAGAAAGTGTTTGAATATGCTGGAGTGGAATATTGAGAAAATTTGGTTGGTTTCCTATAAAAACGATAAAAATGTCATAAGAATTGTACTAATAAGTGATATAATTTTGTTTTAAGAAAAATATATAAAAATAATAATTCCCCTTCTTCGTACTAATTTTGTTACGACACAAAATAACATGATTTTACTTTATAAAGTGGTCGACTGTATTATGGATACGATTAGCCATGTTAAATGTAAAGTCGATCTTATTGCTATTTGTTAGTCATAGCTCGAAGTAGAGTGTAGTTATTGAAAATTATACTTTACTATAAAAGACTTGTCATAAGCACTTTACTTGTCGCGGAGAACCTAACGGGTAACCGGGGCTCTGGCTCGACGTGCAGGAGAAAGAACGGGGTGGTTTTAAGTCAGTACTCAGTCTGACACTCCCTTCCGCCTCACCCAGGCGGGAGCAGTCATTCGATGATTTTCCCCCTTAAAAAAAAATGCACTTTTTTATTTAATTTTTTTCTCATTTTATCTCACAGCAAATAGCTCCCAGTGACGGGTGCAGAAAGTCAATTCTAGGAGATTGAGTTCTGTAGATCCAAGTTTAACCACAGACCCTTCTCCAAGGGTCTGGTAATTGGCAACACTTATCACAAAGCCCGTAGGTCTATATTGCCGTGCAAACAGTGCTTCAATATTTGTTGAGGATCCGTTTGTATAGCAATTGAAACGAGATCCTGAATTATGTTCCTAACTGTATAAATAAGATCTTTCTCGATGTTTTAGTATCTTTACCTCTTATTATGGTTATTACTGTTCTGGGATATAGAAATTAGTGAGCTACGTATTTGTTCTAGTTATATTTATTCTGTTTTCATGGATTTGCCTTGCCTATGAGTACAGATTAATATTCTGTGCAAATTCATTTTCTAACGCTTTTTTATTTGTTGGTATACATGACTGTTTGACAGAACTTTTAGATACATATAAGTACCTTACGCCGGAATACTGAAACGTTCATCAATTTTAAGTCGTGCTGAAATATCGTGCCGTCTCTGTATTTTACAAAGAATTAGTGGAGACAGAACTAAACTTAAGCGCGACTTAAAATTGAGTAGCGTTTCAGTATTCGGGCATTAGTCTTTAAAAATTGATCCATGGTTTAAAAGTACTGTAATCAAACAAACACACGCATACTTAGAATGTTATAGTTGAGGTGATTAGGAATAGGAATAGGCTAGTGGAATAGTGGATGTGTGGTATGCTCTGTGGCTCCCATTCTGTGGCTGAGTGCCGATGCATATCCCGCCTGAATAATTCGTCTAATTAACTATCAGTTCAGCAAACATTGAATTAAATACAAAAATTAAATAGAACCGTATAACAAAGACTAATAGTCGGAATTGGAGCAATCACTTAAACTCTTATAAAACTTCATAATTCGACCATTTTTTTACTTCATTTATTGCAACCACAAACAAGTTTCAATTCACCTTAATATTAAGACCTTAACTAATATAATTTTACTTATTGAAAACTCACCATCAATTGTCACCTAAAATATAAATGATTTACAAAAGGATAAACCTGTATGGCAATAATTATTCTCAATAGTTTCTTATAAAGTGTTATCATTGTGAGTACAATTAAAAGTCATGGTATTGTAGTGAGAATAAGATGGTAGTTAAAACCATTGTATAGTTTATACGTCATGCTCCTCAATTAAAATCAATTAAAATCCTTAAGTGTGGGAGAGCCATGCTTCAGCACGAATGGGCCGGCTCGACCGGAGTGATACCACGGCCTCACAGAAAACCGACGTGAAGCAACTCTTGCGTTGTGTTTCGTCGTGTGAGTGAGGTTACCAGAGGCCTAATTACCCTCCGCTTCCCCAATCTCCCCAATTCCTGAATCCCCAACGATCCTCAAACTCCTAATCCCCAAAAGGCCGGTAACGCACTTGTAACGCCTCTGGTGTTCCTGGTGTCCATGGGCGACGCCGATTGCTTACCATCAGGTGATCTGTCTGTTCGTTTACCGGCTTATGCCATAAATAAAATATTATGCCAACTTAAATAGTTATCAGAAACTAGAATAAGAATTGAAGTGCAGCTGGCTATGGTTGGATGAGAAGGGCTGAAGATCAGGCGCAATGGTGTGCTGATGGAAAGAAACATGATCTGCAGACTGATGACCTGGTGGGAAATAATAATGTATTCTTTCTGTCTATGATAAGAGTTTCATTACCGCACGGAACGACTCGTTAATAATATATTTGGTGTGGTATTATTATGTATACTGCCTCGTTGGCCGAGTGGTCGCAAGTGGGACTGCCGGGTAAGGGGTCGCGGGTTCGATTCCCGGGTCGGGCAAAGTATTACTGGGTTTTTACAAAAATTCTCAGTAGTAGCATGGAGCCTGGAATTGTGCCCTGTATATGGCAATAGGCTCACTCCCTATTACATAGGACTCATATCATAAATAGTGAAAAGTGGGTGTTACATTGTACAGTGGCATAATTTGCACCTCTGCCTACCCCTTCGGGGATAAAAGGCGTGATGTTATGTTATGTTATTATGTATGCATTCACGATTTTTTTAATAATAGAATCATGAAAAATAATATTATGTAGATTATAATGTATTCCGGTCTGTCTAAACGTTATACAGATTAAAAAGATCCAAGCTCGTAAATCTCCTAATAAAATCTGCACCGACAAGAAAGCTTAAAATAAAACTGTTTTTTTAGATAAAATACTGCATGGATTAGTCAGACCAAAACGAAGGTCAGACTGCTAGAGTACACTTATAGTATTTCCTAATTTAAATATGCATAGTAGGCATTTTTTAGATAAAATATAGTGGCAACGCACGAGTCGGCGTCGTGCATTTACATAACATAACATCACGCTTTTTATCCCCAAAGGGGTAGGCAGAGGTGCACATTATGCCACTGTACAATGTAACACTCACTTTTCACTATTTATGTTATGAGTCTCATGTAATAGGGGGTGAGCCTATTGCCATATACCGGGCACAATTCCAGACTCCATGTTACTACTGAGATTTTTTTTAAAAACCAGTAATACTTTGCCCGACCCGGGAATCGAACCCCTTACCCGGCCGTCGCACTTGCGACCACTCGGCCAACGAGGCAGTCCGCAGCACGAGTCGGCGTCGTGCATTAAATATTCTACTTTTATTATATCATCTGTTGCATTAACTTGCTGACTGCGTTCATGAACACACACAAGTCATGAAGTGCTGATTACACTGACTATATAACACCTAATTTCCTCAAATATTATGTCACGAATCTAATATAATAAAGAGAGATTCTATAAAATGTATGAAAAAATAACTTCAGACATCGTAATTAGGTTTATTTTCTAACTAGTTCAGTTTAGAATTAGTACATAAAATAAAGGTTCACAGCTCTTCCCCCGTATGTGACATCGTGATAGTATATAGCCTATGTGTTGACCCGACCGGTGAGTAATATTTATATAAATTTTGAAGTTAATCCATGCAGTACTTTTTGTGTTTAGCCCGGACGTACATACAGACAAACAGACAAAAAGACAAAAATTCTAAAAAAACTATGTTTTTTGCTTCGGTATCGATTCACGACAAAAATATTTAATGTAGTTTTGACTTTCCCACGATTTTGTTTTAATGTATTATATAAAGATACTAGCTACTTCCGCGCGATTTCACCCGCTCTGCTCGGCTCCTATTGGTCGTCGCGAGATGTTTTATAGCCTATAGCCTTCCTCGATAGATGGACTATCGAACACAAAGAAAATTATTCAATTCGAATCAGTAGTTTTAGTAATAATTCGGAGATTAGCTTGTTCAAACAAACAAACAAAAAAACAACCTCTTCAGCTTTATAATATTAGTATAGATAAATAACTACTGAGGGTCGCTCTTTACTATTTATATCATACCATTTTTATAGGCGGACACAAGTTCATTATTATTATTTTTATATACGGAACAATGAATATTAAAAATTGAGGTAGTATGAATGTGAACATAATAAATAACGAAAATAATAAATTATGAAACAAAATACGACAGTTTTATAGACCCGGTTTATCATTAATTAAGAACATGTTAATACCAAATTAATGTTTTTTGTTCATAACGCATAGTTTTTGTTATTTTCGTTAGGAATATTGTTTTTTAAGCAGCAAACTAAGACAGTAGCTAAGAGATTATAAAGCTTCTGTTTATTGTTGTATGGTATTTATAACTACGAAACAAAACGCCTTCTATTGAGAATAGCAATCGTGTGTCTAATATATAATACTATATTCGATATAATACCCATTTTAACTAATAATAGAAATGCCTGCGACGACGACGACTGCCTCGATGGCCGAGTATTCGCAAGTGCGACTGCCGGGCAAAGGGCCTCGGGTTCGATTCCCGGGTCGGGTAAAGTATAACGGGGTTTTTAAAAAAAATCTCAGTGTTAGCACGGAGTGAAAGTCTCTCAGTGTAGTCTGAAATTGCCCGATATATGGCCATAGGCTTAACCCCAATTACATGGGATTCTCTGAACATAAATAGTGACAACTGGGTTTTACATTGTACAGTGGCATTAAGTGCCGTAATGTGCACCTCTGCTTACCCTGTTATAACTGTTATGTTTTATGTAAGAAATAAACTGGCTCTTGGATATTTCAAATTTTGTGATATTACTAGGAATTCTGGACATCGTAAAGTTCAAAATACTTTGCCCTACTCGTCAAAGTCGACTCGCGTATGCTGCAAATATTATAAAATTCTTATGTGGACATGCGATGTCTATTTATGAAATTAACTACGAGCGACAAAGTATTAGAGATTAGTGTACGAACAAACTCGTTGATTATATTATATTACGATACAGATTAATCGAAGATTAAGTATATTGAGTAGGTGTTAAAATCATAAAAAATAACGTCTACACATGTACAAACCATTTTCGCTATGATAGTAACAAATTGGCTATCCAAATTACATATTCTCATACAAAACATGCTATTTATTAAATACCTACGTGTTTTTTCACAATTCCCATAACACATAGGTCGTCTAGAAGACATCACTAATCCGGTACATATTTTTTCTGCGTCTATACTTCAATTTATTAAATGCTTAAAAGGTTTATAATTAGAATTAACGTTTGCTCAGTCAAAGTCACAGATAGATGCCGCTCATACATAGCCTTTGCAAATCTTGTTATCAGGATTTACTGTAGACACAAACTATTAAAACATTTAAGTAACACTTTTCTAAGAAATGGAAAAACTGTATTTTATAGTTACTGGAACGAATTATATTGCAAACTAGCTACTTCAGCGCGGTTTCACTCGCTCTGCTCGGCGCCTATTACTTGCAGCATGATATTTTATAGCCTATAGCCTTCCTCGATAAATGGGCTACCCAACACAGAAAGAATTTTTCAAATCGGACCAGTAGATTCGGAGATTAGCGCGTTCAAACAAACAAACAAAAAACATACTCATCAGCTTTATAATATGTATTATAGTATAGATAAACAATACAATTAGTAAACAATCCCTAAAACATAAGTATAAAACTACGCTACTTACTGAATTAGTCAAAAATTTTAGTTTATGTTAATTTGCTTTGTTTTAGTTAAATAATTCGCTGTTAAAATTATTTTACATAATTATATTTTTGTTTGTTAGTAGAAGTTAACTCTGTTTTTTTTTTGTTAAGGACAAATTTGACATCGAGGACTATTCCCGCCGTCAAACTGTCAAAGCAGTTTGATGGGTTTATTTATTGTATAGTTAAGTTTCTGCCACCGACAGAGGGTGTAGGTAAATGGGAACTATAATCATTTTACTAAGTTTATTATAATTAATACTAGCTACTTCCGCGCGGTTTCACACGCTCTGCTCAGATCCTATTTCTCGTTGAGTGTGTGTAATGTTTTATATCCTATAGCCATCCTCAATAAATGCGCTATCCAACACAAAAACAATTATTCAAATCAGACTTGTAGTTACGGAGATTAGTACGTTCAAACAAACAAACAAAAAACTCTTCCGCTTTATATAATAGTATAAGATAAGATAATAGTATAAGATTACATGATAATTCCTAAAATCTAACTAACCTAAATGCGAATGCGTTCGATGAATGTTCGAGAACAACACTGCTTCCTTGTCTTAAAATTATTTCGAAAGAAGGTTTTCAATAAAACCTGTTGAGGTTAAATTTAGTGGGGTGATTGATGATGCAGCGATTTGCAGCTGGGCACGAGGCGGTGATATGAGGAGACGACTCAGCAGTTTGGATGTTGCAATACTCCATAGAACCTTCGTTGCATCAAAGCAGGTGTAATGTCCTGATTCAGCAGATCTGGTCCTCGTGACACGACGTTGATCACGGTGTAGGTACATGTGCCGGCACCGATACGTAACAGTATTCTTTTTGTATAAAACAAATAAAAGGTTCAGATATCACATTTAAGTGGAACATCTTCTGAGTCGTACAGAACCATTGAATGGAAATGGAGAGTTGTCATTTAGAATATTAGATTATGTAGGTCCGCAGTGGACGTCTTCGAGCTGATGGTTATTATGGACAGAAATTCCCTTTTGAATAATTAATATTGCAACGAGCAGGCTACACTAGAGGACTGACCGACAGACTGACATTCTTTTTAAGTTTTTAATTTTTTGTTTTGAGGTTCAAAAGTGACTTCCTGGTATAATTGAAATAAGTGATTTTGAATTCAACTTGACTTTGACTATGTTACAGAATATTGAACGTAATAATGTAATTGATACCCTATTAATCCCGGCAGTGGTAGGCGTAGTCTTACATTTAATTAGTGCATACATTATAATTGATCTATGAAATTGGGAGACTGAAGATTTCCGAAAACCACCTATTGAATCATTTTCTCGACTTACGATCCGAAACATTAAGCGCACGCAAAAACGGCAAGCTCCCTTTACGCATCGCAAGAACTTGCGAATTGATTCGCATCGCGCGTCAAAATCTTATCTTCCCAAAATCTTCTTTGTTTCATTCCCTGTATCTCCTAAGGAATAACAGAAGTGTACACTCCTTTTAACGACCCTTGTCACGACATAGTTTTCAATTTAAAATACGTTTAGTAAGGTTGACTAGTCGTCGAAGAAACGGTCACCTTGGGAGACGCATTGTCGCACGAAATCGCATCGCAGGAATTCGCATCGTAATTTTTGGCATTGTGATTTCACATCGCAGTTGTGTACGAGCCCTTAAGAATCGAACCTTTAACCTCTCATCCACTACCTAAGATACAGTTTTTCTTTTAGCAATTGTCTTTTTTATGTAGGTACTTAAACTTTTTGCCACTAATTAAAGGTACATACTTTATAGAGGTATATAAACAAACAAACATCGCAATGTTCATTGTGTTGGACATTCTGATTGATGGCTTGTCAGTTTCCATGTTTCCGTAAACAGGTAAATACTGACTAACCGACTTCGAGAACATGTCAAACTATTTTTGAAATATCAAAAAACAATTCTTAGTAGTATTACAAAATCGGAATTGGTAGACATTATTCAGTTTATCATAAAGTAAAACCGCCTAGCTTCACTGACAGACGGACTGACGGACGATTCCATTTTAGACGTTTCAAAAGTGCCTAATTAAGTATTAATTGAAATGAATGCTTTGATTTTGACTTTGACTTTGACCGTTAGTACAAGAGATTCGAGATTAGCATATTAAAGTTCAGTAATTTAAACTATTATTACCGGAGTCTTTCCTGTTTGATATACGTTGTGCGGTATAAAAGTCCCTAAAATTAAAAAGGAATAAAAAAACAAAAGTTCAGTAATTTGGTCGAAATTAGAAAAATAAAAAAAAAACAAGAATATTTTAGTAATCCTTTCTTGAACCGGAGACCTCCAATATGTTTGTATATTAAAGTACAACCAAAAAAATACGTTAAAGTTCAATAATTCGGTTGGAAAAATGAGGCTTAAAATTGAAAATTTTCTTTCCGAATGTCCATTTTGCCACGTCGCATAACTGCCTTCTGTTTCAAGGTCTTGATCCATCCACCTAAAGCTAGCCTCATGAGATGGATTTCGAAGCTTTTAGGGATTAACCCATTGGCCGAGACGACTATCGGCACAATGATAGCCAAATCGCTAATAATGCCTACTCACAAGAGGTCAAAACCTCGTCCCTACCCTTAAATTAAACCCAAAGGTTCAATTCAGGGATAGTACTGTGTCTATTTTTATGGGGACATGCGAACAGGCAAGTAATCGGCACTGACTGTGGACGGAGACCCTCAAAATATATTTAAGTATATTATTTTTGCCTCATAGGTCGAGTGGTCGCAAGTGCGACTGCCAGGCAAGGGGTCTCGGGTTCGATTCCCGTGTCAGGCATAGTACTACAGTTACGGTACGGATTGTTAAAAAATTCTCAGTGGTAGCACTGAGTCTGGAATTGTGCCCGGTATATGGCAATAGGCTCACCCCCTATTACATGGGACTCATAACATAAATAGTGAAAAGTGGTGTTACATTGTACAGTGGCATTAAGTACCGTAATGTGCACCTCTGCCTATGTTATTATTTTTGTTTAGCGAAAACAATATAATAAAATAATACATAACTTTGAGAGTTTTCCAGTTATGAAACAAGGAAATGGACCTTATTGTGTGTGTAATAGCATTCTAATTCACAAACGGTACTATCCATCTAGTTTAAAAAATTAAACTTGTTTAGGCCGTAGTTTCAGGTCGGAACGCAGATATACGCGAGGCACAATATGTTTTGCATTGTGTCTCATATACTGACATTCAAGCGGTTAATATGTGCACCTTTTTTATTTTTTATAATTTTATATGTGCATTTAACCTTTTATAATTTTAAATCTAAATATTAAATACCTACTTCAATTCAAACTTAACTCATTTGTAAACATAAAATGTTTAATTAATATTTGTCTATGAAGTGTTTATTGTAAAATTATAATATTTTGACCAATAAAAATCATATTATCTTGTGATAATAACAGCTAAGGAATTATTTATAATGCAAAAAAATGTACACAAATAATAGTATCATGAGATAGGGTGCACAAACGACTGGCAGCATTGCCACGTTGAATGGCAATATTCCTTATAAATACTCCGGACGTGTCGGGGATCGCGAGACGATCTCCGGCCACCGTAAGCACGGGCCTGCTGACGGCGAGTATGGGTAGCGACCAGAACCAGACCCGAACGTAAAGCGCGTCGCTTTCCGCGCGCGCCTCAAAGAGCCATCAGACCACGGATGGGGCCCGACAGGGCTGATGCGGATACGGAGCCGCGAAGGACTTAACGGGTTGCCGGGACTCCGGCTCGAAGGGCAGGAGTAGGAACGGGGTGGTATTTAGTCAATAATGATGATTCCTCCCCTTAAAAAAACCTTACCTAAGTAAAACCGCATCAAAATTGGTGCAGCCAACCGCAAGATAATCGCGCACAAATATACATGTTTGTGCGGTTATCTGTATGTGTACAGGTCAAACTGAGAACGTCATTTTTTATTTTGAAGTCGGTTAAAAATAACCGATTATGACTCTATGACCAACCATAAAAAGATGAGCAGTATCAAAATAAGTAGTCTCAATTTCCAGTGCTGTAGTTACAATACCCAAGCCTATTCAGCGTAGTGATTATAGTAAATCAGGTGAGGCCTTTATTCACCAGGGAATATGTTCCGTATAATGCTAATACATAATTTGTTAGTAATAACCCACCAGCCATCATGTAAAATGACAACAATATTATACCTGAACAATGTCAGATAGTGAAGCTCCCCCACTATCATCGCCACAGTTTAAGGCATAATCATATATCATATGTTTAAGGTTTCAATGTCATTAGTAAGTAACATACATATACATTCTACAAGTAGTAGCAATTACAACGCGATTACGCTTCAAGCGGTCCAACCAGAACGGCTTGAATACGCCCGCGGGCGCCGGTCGGCAAAAAATTGACTTGTGACACCCATAAATTAAATTAACAAAGTATTGAGCTGACATAATCATATTTCAATTTTTTTTATTAAATATTATTATAATTCGGTATCCGAGGCTGCTTAAGTTATACAAAACAGAACTTCTTTACTTATTAACTGGTGCCATAAATCTAACGTGATTCGGAAATAGCAAATTTAGTTTTTTTTTTTGTTTGTAGAAGTATATTTATGGAGCGACTTCGTATATCGTTTCAGTCATTATTATTTTGCCTTGGTGGACACTTCTGATTATAAGTGTATAGAAGATGGTGCAAGTGAGAGTGAGCGAGGGTGTACTGGAAGGGGAGCAGGTCCAGAATGATAATGGAGGCTCGTTCTACAGGTTCAGGGGCATACCTTACGCCCAGCCACCACTTGGAGATCTCCGGTTTAAGGTAGGGTTACTGAAATATTTGTGGTTTTTATACATTTGTGACAAAAAGTGAAAAATAAATAAAAAAGTTTTATCTAAACTTTTTGCTATTATTTTTTAATAAAATTGAATAAAAAATCTATTTTTGCAAGTATAAATAAAAAAACAAATTCAAAAGCCCAAATCATTTATTACAATTAGACCAAATAGAATAAGGCAGTTTTGAAATTCTAACAATATTTCCTTGCAATGAGTTACTAACTATAAATTGATGCCTAAACAATATAAACTTGTTCCAGGCACCACAGCCAATTAAACCATGGCAAGGAGTGCGGCAGGCCAAACAGTTTGGCTCAGTATGTTACCAGTACAACCCCACTAACCTTGGACTCTCAAACATGAGTGAGGACTGCTTGTACGTGAATGTCTATACTCCAGACATTAAACCTCAAACGCCTATTCCTGTAATGGTTTGGATCCACGGTGGAGGATTCATGTGGGGAAGTGGCAATGACGACCTCTACGGCCCAGAATTTCTAATCAGACACAATGTAGTTCTAGTCACTTTCAACTACAGGCTTGAAGCTCTCGGCTTTCTATGCCTTGACACTGCAGACGTTCCCGGCAATGCTGGCATGAAGGATCAAGTAGCAGCCCTTAGATGGGTTAAAAGGAACATTGCGAACTTTGGAGGCAACCCTGACAACATCACAATATTTGGTGAAAGTGCTGGTGGTGGAAGTGTTTCACATCATCTAATATCCCCAATGTCCAAAGGCCTCTTCAATAGAGCAATCCCACAGAGTGGATCCACCGCATGTTTTTGGGCTACAGCATTCGAACCAAAAGAAAAAGCTATACTTCTTGCTAAGCAACTGGGTTTCCATTCAGAGGATCCAAAAGAATTATATGAGTTCTTCAAAAAACAACCTTGTGAAAATCTGGTCAAGTTAAACTTACAAGTAACAACGTCACAGAAGTCTTATGAAATTCATTTTAGTATTGCAAATGAGAAAGATTTCGGACAAGAAAGATTCTTTTATGGCGATATCGTGGACGCAATTAAAAACAATTTACAAGAAGGTGTAGACATTATGACAGGGTACACAAAGGATGAGTATACAATAGCGGTGTCCATCGGTGGACCGCTGGAGGATATACTTGCAAAAGCTCAGAGATACCGGGAATTTTTCGCTCCCAAACTATTACACAACTACGGGACGATAACTGACCAGTTAGAAGCTGCACGAAAGTTACAAAAGTTTTATTTCAAAAACGAGAAAGTATCGAAGAATAATATTGATAATTTATTGAATTACATGAGCGTTGATATGTTTGTTTATGGCGTGATGTTTGCTGCGAAGTTGTATTCAAGGAAGAATAAAGTGTACGTTTACAAATTCAATTGTTTCTCAGAGAGGAATGTCCTCGCCAATGCTTTTTGCGTCGGCCATCTTACGGACGACCGGTCAGTTGTAAGTCATGCGGATGATTTGGCATATCTCTTCCCAGTGAAACTTTTTACACAAAAAGTTAATAAAACATCGGACACATTCAAACTGATTGACAGGGTCACTACACTTTGGACAAACTTCGCCAAATACGGGTGAGTGAAACATCTTTTTTATCTTTTCAGTGAACTGTCCAGTATACTCTGAGATAAAAAAATATATTTTATGGCATTGGAATATAAATTGAATTAGATTGTGACATAAAAAAGTATTCAGTCAAAAGTGGGTAGCCGAATTTTAAAACGTATATATTGACACAATGTGTAAAAATGTTCTAAAGTAACAGTCTATAGTCTACGTCTAATCTCCTAAATGAACACACCTTGCTACCAAAAGATGATAGTATTTAATAAAAATTTAGACATACATTTTCAGTCATAAAACCATACACACAATAGATGTAGAATAGGCTGGTTTCCTAAATTTTATTTTAATGTCCGTCTGGTAGATTTTTTTAAAACATTAGACACGTATTTTTTCTTTTCTCACAAAATTAAATGCTTTCGACGATATATTGATTTGAAATGTCGTGTGACGTCACAGCGTGCAACAAAATGTAGCACGTTATGACATAACTACCCACTCCTAAACTTAACTGCATTTTATCTAAGTATTGTAACTTTATACGAGAAAATAAAAAAATACGTGTCTAATACTTTTTCATTATCTAACTGACGGACTAATTAGATTTTTAATTTTCTTACCCTGGAAACTACCCAATTATTCTAAGACTATGTTTTTGTTCATAGAAACCCTACTCCAGATGACAGCCTAGGAGTGAAGTGGCTTCCGTACACCTTAGCAGCTCAGGATTATATGGACATTGGTAACCAGCTGGTCCCTGGTAATTCACCAGACAAAGAAGAGCTGGACTTCTGGGAATCTGTACTGCACCAACACCTGCCTAAATTTAGTACGCTAAACAAATAATGATTCAACTTCATCTCAATGGTGCCAGCAGAACAAGCTACTCCAAACTGGTTTTGTGGTTTAATCAATTTTGAAATCTATTTCTATAATCGTAGAGTTGACAATGTAATAATGTTTTGGGTTAGCTTGATATGCTGGCGTCTGGTACAGATGAACACTAATTTTAAGTATTAATAAAGGTTTTTACTTTAAGGATTGTTAAAAGACTAACTCTAATTAATGTAAAGAACATTAATATATTAAATGCAAGCAAATATTTTGTTATAAGTGTTACATACTTCATAATTGCACATAATGCTATGTTATCTTTTAACAACTAATATAAATTAATAAAGTGACATGTTCATTTACTTTTGTTTATAATACTTTATCTATCATAACATAACATCACGCCTTTTACCCCGAAGGGGTAGGCAGAGGTGCACATTACGGCACTTAAGGCCACTGTACAATGTAGCACCCACTTTTCACTGTTTATGTTATGAGTCCCATGTAATTGGGGGTGAGCCTATTGCCATATACGGGGCACAATTCCAGACTCCGTACTACGACTGGGATTTTTTTTAAAAACCCAGTTATATTATGCCCTAACCGGGAATCGAACCCGAGACCCCTAGTCCGGCAGTCGCACTTGCGACCACTCGACCAACGAGGCAGTAATCTATATATATATCATAAGTCTTATTTTTGTCTAGATAGGTTTAGTTACAGTCGGTTTTTGTACGAATTTTTTCGTACGAAATAACTATACAATTTTGTCATTCACACGGTGTAGATCACGAATTTGGTTTTTATTTCATGTTATAATGAGAAACATTTGACTGTATAAAAAGTTGCACATCGCTTCGTCTACTTGATAAACATGGCATGTTGTTAAAAATATTTAAGAACCGCAGAAAATATCAAAATTTATATAAATTGTTTTATGATCTTCTAATAGGTATGTAATAATAATAATAATATAATCTGTTAGTTTAGATGTATGAATATTTGTTTCTCGAACACTCCAAAATCGCTGAACTAATCGGGATGAATTGAGGCATTGAGACCGATTGTGATCTGCTATAGCAGCTATAGCATAATTATATGCAATAGCAAATACTAAAGTAAATGTTACGAATGTCGTAGGAGACATAACATAACATAACATCACGCCTGTTATCCCGGAAGGAGTAGGCAGAGGTGCACATTATACCATTGTACAATGTAACACCCACTTTTCACTATTTATGTTATGAGTCCCATGTAATAGGGGTTGTGCCTATTGCCATATACCGGACACAACCAGAATCCTAGTAATACTTTGCCTGACCCGGGAATCGAACCCGAGACCCCTTGCCCGGCAGTCGCACTTGCAACCACTCGACCAACCAGGCAGTCAAAATCGTAGGAGACTTTCTCATTTTCACGCGATTAATGAAAAATCTTAGAAAACTTCTACAGAGTTCACATTTTTGGCTTTTTGTTCCATCTCGATTATATTATATATGTATATGTATTTACATAGGTATATGATAACTACTACCCATATCTACGGGTAAACGCGCGTTCTCGTACACACGGGTAAATATTGTAATAAAAAAGCGAATTAACTATTCTGTTCAATCAAATACTTTAAAAACGGGTTCCAAACTTGAAAATATACGTCACAGAAAAAATATCCAATCGGTGCGCGTTTCTCGTACACCCGTGTGTACGAGAAACACGCGAGAGGTTAATTTAAAATTTAAATTATTTCCGACGCAAATAAAGTCAGGAGGCATTACTAACGTTTTGTTTGACAACCAACAACAGACCAATTAGTCCTTTTACTAGTACTATTTACATTTCCAACTAAATCACGAATGTGTCTGATTGTCGGTTTGGCTGAAGTCACAAGTGACTAGCACATCTGACCTCACTGGCCTATGGACCCATTTGAAGAGGCAATAAAAGTTAAATACGCTCTTTGTCTTGTAAAATTTAAAGTCTATTATTATTATTATCATACTCCCTTTTGAGGGGGAAAAATCATCCAAAGATTTCTTACGTCTTGAGTTGGGCGAGAGGGAGTGTCAGACTCTTAGTGACTATAAACCACCCCGTTCCTACTCTTGCTCTTCGAGCCGAAGCCCCGGCAACCAGGCCTTTCACGGCTCCCTGTCTGTGGTGGTACATAGCATTATCATACCCTGGCTTCAATTCCTAGCTTCACGGTAATGACAACTTTACAATATAGTAACATAAACTCATTAGGCAGGAAAAGATATTGGATGATTACCCCTCCTCAAACAAACCTCATGTAGATTTTGTTAAAGAAATAAGGAAAAGCAAGAAAAAGGATGTTCAAATATCGCAATCAGAGCGAGATAGCTGAAATAATGAATCGCATACAAAATCGCAAAGAGTAAAATAAACACAAATATTTTAAAAGGTAAAGCACCATGTTAGAGCCCATTACAAATTCAATTTTGCGAATGGTAAACCATTAGTTACATCTTTCGCCAAAGAAAGAGACTAACACTTACGTACATACGTAAATAGATCGGCTAACTGGTTTACAAATAAATTGTACAAACACATACATATATAAAGGTGTTACCGAATTTGTTCAAGGCTAAAACTATGCTATACCGTAACTACCTCATCAATTTAGTAGCTTCTATACAATTGCGAAACACAAAGGACTCGAACTCGATCCGCAGATCATTCAAAAACATACATAACATAACATCACGCCTTTTATCCACGAAGGGGTAGGCAGAGGTGCACACAGAAGTAAAACCCACTTTTCACTATTTATGTTATGAGTCTCATGTAGTAGAGGGTGAGCCTATTGTCATATACCGGGCACATTTCCAGAATTCGTGCTATTATTGGGTTTTTTTTTAAAACCCAGTAATACTATTATACCCCTTGCCCGGTAGTCTCACTTGCGACCACTCGGCCAACGAGATCATGCAAAAAGCTGTTTTATTCGATTTTTCTAAGCAAAAATTAACTCGTAACAGGCTACTGTTGGCCTATAGACCTCTGTTACATGGCAAATTATTCCATTACCTCTAGCTTAGCAGGTGAGCTGGAGTTTGCAGGTTAAAAGATTCAGGTTTAACAGAGATCGCTACTAACCTATATGCTAAATATGTAGTCTCTTTGGGCTCGCTGCCATCGCAGCGGTAAGTCCCCTCTTTGAGGAGTGGCTTGAGAGACGCTACGGCGTCCTCACCTACCGCCTGACGCAGGTCCTCACCGGACATGGCAGTTTCGGGAGGTACCTGTGTCTGATGGGGCGGGAGGAAACGCCCGGGTGTCATCACTGCGAGGACCGCCCTGAGGACACGGTGGAACACACGGTGGGAGAATGCCCTTCGTGGGCTGAGCACCGCCGTGTCCTTAGGGAAGTGATCAGCGATGGCGACCTCTCGCGTCCGGGCCTAGTGCAGGCCATGATGCGGAGCGAGGGGGATTGGGATGCCGTCTCCTCCTTTTGCGAAGCAGTCATGCTAGCTAAGGAGGAGGCGGGACGCGTGAGGCAGCGAAGCGCTGCCTCCTCGCAACCCAGCCATCGCGAAGGACACACCGGGCGTCGGGGATCGCGGGACGATCTCCGGCCACCGTAAGCGCGGGCCTGCGGACGGCGAGCATGGGTGGCTCCCCGTCCGACCAGAAACAGACCCGAGCGTACGGCGCGTCGCGTTCCGCGCGCGCCTCAAAGAGCCATCAGACCACCACAGATGGGGTCCAATAGGGCCGATGCCGATTCGGAGTCGCGGAGAACCTAACGGGTAACCGGGGCTCCGGCTCGACGTGCAGGAGAAGGAACGGGGTGGTTTTTAGTCAGTAAGAGTCTGACACTCCCTCCCGCCTCACCCAGGCGGGGGCAATCATTCGATGATTTTCCCCCCTTAAAAAAAAAAAAAAAAAAATATGTAGTCTCTTAGTCCATTTACGAAGACTTCAGGTGATGGCAAATATTGCTGTTACTATACGACTTATTATAATAATAGCGATTAGTATTCAAGAAGACTTACATACTGTTTTTGCAAACCCACCTTAATTCCACTTTCGACAGATAACTACGAATGATAAGAACTTGAAAAAACTTCATGTTATTTATGCATAAGCAGTTTATCAAAGTCTAAATTTAAATAAATTGTAGTTTTGTTGAGTTATAAGTACCGAATACTAAG